GTTCTAAAATGGGTAGAACAAAGAATTTATCTGATTATGAAAAAGGGCAGATTGATGCCTATAAATCACAAGGCAAGTCAATAAGAGAAATTGCAGCATATATAAATCGTCCAAAATCAACTGTTGGTGATTATTTATCAAAAAGACGTGGCAAGGATGTATCAAAATTCAAGACAGGTCCAAAACCTAAGCTTACACCTCAAGATTGTAGACAAATCATCAAGGTTTGCTCCACAAAACAAACATCAGTAAGAAAAAATCCAAGAATTAGACTTGCCTTGTAGCAGCACAACAATGTGGAGAGTTTTAAATAAATCTCCAATGTTAAAATTCAGAAAAAAGCTGTAATGCCACCACTTTCATTAAAGCACAAAAGTGACAGACTTGATTGGGCACAAAAACACATCACATGGTCCAAAGAATGGATTGAAGTTTTGTTCGGTGATGGAAAAAAATTCAACTTAGATGATCCAGACGGTTGGAAGTATTATTGGCACGATTTAAGAACCGAAAAACATATTTTCAAAACGCCAAATGGGTGAGGGATCAATAATGGTGTGGGGTGTATTTGGATTCAATGGAACCACAAATTTAGTATTTATAACTCAGAATGAATTCAGAGAAATATCAAGGCTTGCTTGAAGATCATTTATTGGAAGCTAGATCAAATATTTGTGGACCAAATTGGATCTTTCAACAAGACAATGCCCCTGTGCATGCCTCTAAATCAATAAAAAAAATGTGGTTTGAACGTAAAAATATTAAGCTGATGACATGGCCTGCTAGAAGCCCTGATCTGAATCCGACGGAAAATCTTTGGGGGATGATAGTTCTTACAATTTATGCAAATGGAAGCAGTTTTCCACAATTCATGATTTGAAGGCAGCAATTTCAGATGCTTGGGATAAACTTAAGTTTGAATTCCTTCAGAATCTAATTGAAACAATGCCTAATCGAGTATTTAATGTAATTAAGTTAAATAGTGGTTACATTGGCTATTAAATTGTAAGAAAACTTTGCAATTTGAAACCTGTCCAGATAAATATGTAACAGTTTTTTTGTACAAAATTTTCAAAATTATTATTTTCAGTGACAAAATGTTAATGTTTGATTAAAATTCTTATTTTGCAGTGTGGAAACATGTAAATCCATGTTATTTTTAATAAAACATTTGTCGCTTAATGCAGCAAATTTGAGTTTCACTTTAATTTTTTTGTGTCCGTATAAATTTGAAACGCACCTTATTAACTTTAAAATGGAGGTATTATTAGAATTGATTTCAAAATTAAAAAAAAATCTTCTATTACATTTTTGTGTGTGTTAACAAGTATAGAGAGAAAATATGACAGTTACCGAATTATAACACCAGAAGATAGTAAGCAATTGTTATTTTGTTACAAAATTTATTATTAAACCAAAGCAGGGATGGCAAATCTTTTCAAGCCCACATGCCACATAGTAAGCATACTTAGCTTGAAAGATGCTCATGTGTGCCAAATTTTGAGATTTTGAATAATATTATTTAAAGAAATTAAATGAATATGCTTTTAATTTGAATAAACATTTAAAAAAAATGATCAGATGATAAACAGAAATTATATTTTATGTTATGTGCCAGATGATTTCTCCTTGTGTGTCATAGGTTTGCCACCCCTGAAATAGATTGAGCAGAAAAGAGTAGAAATTTTTAAACTGGAAAATCTGTGGTGTAATTGCATACATTTATCATAAACAGTTATGTTGTCAGTTGTTTACAACTTGTAAAAGGTTGAAATTGTCAAAAAATAAATAAAAAATGTCCGCATTGCTTTACAAAGAATTCAAGTAATACGTTCACTAATCTGTAATTTGAGAATCTCCGACAAGCAGCAAGTTAAACCTAGAATTAATGCGTAGTGAGTATCAATTTAAATCAAACTCATTTATTTCTAGCTAACAGCCATAAATTTTGAATTGTCTAGTCCAGTCCTGTATATATGACAAACCTAATCATGTGTCAAGTGCAATATGACATTAATGATTCATTCTTCTGTTCTTCGTTATCTATACAGTATTCGTTGCATTGATATTTTATCATTTTGATTTTTCTACTATTCAAATGCAAGTTTTTAATTTAAACAAATATTTTGTTTTCTTTTTCCATCTTTTTGTTCTGTTTCCAATTGTTATTATTTACTTGATTGCTGCATATAGCAATTAGGTAAATAATAATAATAATAATAATGTATTTATAAATTTATTATTAAAATACAGGGCCAGGAAATTTTTGGCATCTAGTCAGATGGTGTTACTGTACCTTTTAATTAAATTAGAATTATTAAACTCCGATAACAAGACATGTAATTGCATGGTATATGAACATTAAATGTGCATCTTGGTGCAATCAATTTCTAAGTTGATGATAATTAGAATAATTTTCTCTCCTTATTGATGATGATGATAATAATAATAATAGATTAATTAATCAAATTTAGAGAAATCTGGAAAGGGTTAGTTTTACACTTGCATCCACAGAAAATATTTTACTACACAGGACTATGTGAAAATATTAGCTGCACATGTGTATAAGAATACGGAAAATGACTTGCAGCCATACTTGTATGAAAATGTAGTAAAGATCATTTACAAATAGCATCCACATTCCTTTGCAATTAATTAATTTTCCAGGTTTTTCTAAATTTGAATAAATCAATTTACTAAATTAATTATTTATTTATTTTGTTTATACAAATATTATAATCGTTAAATAATTCTAAAAAAAAAAAAATGGTGTTTTGGCTGCTTAGGGTGGTGTTTGAAATCGAATCTCATAGCTCGGTAGAGGTAGATTCGGTGTTTTAGTTCTTGTTACAAAATATACAAATGTTAGTACTATTATTTTCGAAAATCGTTCATCACTAATTAGGTAGTAATATTAGTTTAATAATCCACGACAACCAGAAATCAATGGTAATAAAGATGGGGGATTGGGTTCGAGCCTGGATCAAAGTCTCGGGGGTGTCTGAAGTCTCTGTCTATTTCCATTTGTAGTATGACTAAACTCATGATGGGTATTAAAAAAAGTGCCCTCTTAGTGCCGCAGAGTTGGAAGAGTTAAATTATAGGAAAGTTTTCTTTTAATTTCATGAATGTTTGACTTCAATTTATAAATTTCTTATTTGTATCATTTTGATCGAGAGCTTTACTGCCAGTCTTAGCCGAGGCTCCCTCTCGAGCTGTTAGATTTCATTTTGACCACCCTTCAGCGTGTTGCTTAAATTTACTGATTGCAAGTTAATTTGGAGTTTTTCTTTCAGATGTAAGCAAACATCAAGGACATGTAATATAAACAAATTCATAAAAGTACTTCGATTAAAGCGTAATAATATTCAAATGTAATTGAGAAGAAGTAATAATTTTGTCACATCCTTAAATTATATTTTTTAAATATATTTTTTTTAATTTTTGTTTCTAATCATTTTTTATTCGATAATCTGCCAACGATGATAAATATTTATGCCGTTAACATATTTGTAACGATGTAAAACGATTTTATTCGGCATACTTTAATTCTGCCGGATTATATTGCGTCGACGGAGAGTCAAATTTTTAGTGAAAGCCAAAATAGTTTTAACTATTAAAAATATAAAATAAACTATATTCTGATTCTACTATACTGTGATATAAAAAATAAAATTCGATAAAAAAAAATAGTGTAACGATATGTACAAATCACAAAACATTTTGTGCAGCCTAAAAAAGTGCATACGTGGGTTTGAAGGGCTACACGGGACCACAACGTTGCAATTTTATGAATATCTGCAAAGGAATATCTACGACCGAATATTCTTTCTAAGCAATTGAATTTGTTACTAGAATTAATGCTATTAAATGCTCTTAGATTTAATTTGTGAAGTACTTTTTTGTTATCCGCACCACGATACTCTAAATGTCGAACATCACATCCTTCGGAACTAAATTTGACTTGTCGGATAATGTTTTTTGTAATATATAAAACTAAAATATTCAATCAAAAATCCAAACATGTTTTTATTTCGAATGTCAAACCTTCTTCACTTAAATACAATTCAAAAAGATGGGTTATCATGAAATTTAATGGTGCTATTGATAAATGAAGCATATCTGAAAAAATATTTTTACTATAGTTTGTTTTAGCAATGAATCAAAATGTTTATTATTTTAAATTGTATAAAAAGATAAATCCTAATTATACTGTGTTTTAAAAAAAAAAAAGAAATTATTTATCTTTAGTTTTATATTTTAAATAGAAAAATGATACTGTAATGTTAACACTTAAGCAAATTTACTGGAGATAAAACTAAAAATATAATTCTTAGGTTATTCCTACCACATTTTGAATTATTGCACCGTATTTGTTTGAAAATTTAAAAATTAATTAGTTCCTCTTGTGTAAATATTATATTTGTGTATTAAATATGAAATTTTCTATCAAAAGATGCTTGTTACTCTGTTCAAAATACATCTACTTTTCTTCTCGGTTTGCTGTAGTTTGAAGACTTTCTGAATACAAGTATATGATAATATTAGGGGCCGAACTTATGTTGTGCAGGGCAAAATTCATTGGCAGATGCTCCCTAAAATATTTTTTTAATTTGTCATGCATAAATAGAAAAAAAATTCATTATTTAAAAGACATTTTATAATTTGGAGAATATATTTTGTATTTCATTTTTTTTTTCAATTGCAATGCCCCTGATGGCATAGTGCCCCGGGCCAGTGCCCACTTGCCCATGCCTACGCTCGGCCCTGATAATGTTTCCCAATAGGCCCTAATTGACATAATCTTTGCTCTGTTTCAAAATAAAANGACTAAAAAAAAACTTCGCTAGGTCTTACTTTCAGAGGGAGGTCTTATATTTCGCAATTCAGCAAAATCTGTGCTAGGTCTTATTTTCTGCGGATGTCTTATTTTCGGGGAAACACGGTAAGCTGGTAGTGATAATGCAAATATTACGACTGTTGCAGTTTTTCTGGTGTGATTACACTTGTATGCTTATGATGTGTCACATGGTAGCTACCAGAATTCCCAACTCTGCCATATTAATCAACAATGTTTTTAATCAAGATTTCAAGCCAGTAACTCTAGATTGAAAATTACTTTATTTTCTGTATTCTCCAACAAATTCTAACACTGATTATACAATCCTTGAATTCAAAGGGCTGTTACACGCTCTCCAATTTGTCCAAATGTATCCCAAAGTGTCTGTGCAAAAACTTCGCATGCAAATTACACACAATTTCAAAGTTCAGTAGACAGTAATTCTAACAGTAAAAGAAACTATAAGGTGCGTTTCAAATTTATACAGACACAAAAAAATTAAAGTGAAATCCAAATTTGCTGCATTAAGTGACAAATGTTTTATTAAAAATAACATGAATTTACATGTTTCCACAATGCAAAATAAGAATTTTAATCAAACATTAACGTTTTATCACTGAAAATAATATTTTTGAAAATTTTGTACAAAAAGCTGTTACATATTTATCTGGACAGGCACTCATTTCATGACTTAAATAGAATATTGTTTAGTTTCAAGCATTGAAATATGCAAATCAGTTTACATATCTAATTGTAATACAAATTCTTTATGTTGTTCAAAGTTCTAAAATGAGCAGAACAAAGAATTTATCTGATTATGAGAGAGAGCAGATTGATGCCTATAAATCACAAGGCAAGTCAATAAGAGAAATTGCAGCATATATAAATCGTCCAAAATCAACTGTTGGTGATTATTTATCAAAAAGACGTGGCAAGGATGTATCAAAATTCAAGACAGGTCCAAAACCTAAGCTTACACCTCAAGATTGTAGACAAATCATCAAGGTTTGCTCCACAAAACAAACATCAGTAAGAAAAAATCCAAGAATTAGACTTGCCTTGTAGCAGCACAACAATGTGGAGAGTTTTAAATAAATCTCCAATGTTAAAATTCAGAAAAAAGCTGTAATGCCACCACTTTCATTAAAGCACAAAAGTGACAGACTTGATTGGGCACAAAAACACATCACATGGTCCAAAGAATGGATTGAAGTTTTGTTCGGTGATGAAAAATAATTCAACTTAGATGATCCAGACGGTTGGAAGTATTATTGGCACGATTTAAGAACCGAAAAACATATTTTCAAAACGCCAAATGGGTGAGGGATCAATAATGGTGTGGGGTGTATTTGGATTCAATGGAACCACAAATTTAGTATTTATAACTCAGAATGAATTCAGAGAAATATCAAGGCTTGCTTGAAGATCATTTATTGGAAGCTAGATCAAATATTTGTGGACCAAATTGGATCTTTCAACAAGACAATGCCCCTGTGCATGCCTCTAAATCANCCCTGACATATAATTAAAGGCTTTAAGTATGTTTCAAAATAAAACGCTATGCGAATATCGAGGTTGCGGCCGAAATTTTCACGTTTTAGAGATGAAAACTTTGGCCGCAACCTCGTTAATGGTTCGCATAATAAAGTATGAGGATAAATTAATTTAATTTTGAAATGAAAAATTAAAGAAGAAATTTGGAGATATTTGTTAAAATAAGGATTTATTTAGTTTACTGTATTCATACGCATTTTTGCATTACACAAACTTCAAACAGGAGCTCAGAGCAAATGTTTTTATAAATAAAAATTAGATCAGAGAAAAGAAAACCATTCTCACAAACTTTATACAGTATATTATATAAAGTAAATTTTCAAAAGTATTTGCAAGAGATAATAACTTGATTCATTTAGGAACTTTCTTATGGATATAAATTAAATTTATTTATTTTTATAGAGAATTAAATAACTGTATTTATAAAAATTTATTACAGTAGAAAATAACAAAACTAGAAATATCAACTTCAACTTTATTTATTGTTTTTATAATAAAATGATTATTAAACAACATAATTATTCATTAGAATGTGCAATTTGTACAATACTATGTTACATAACTCTAAATTATTATGAAATATTAATTTAAATGACTGAAAGTTTTAATTTCAATTACTATATTTTATTTTAAATTTTAAAGTGTGTTTTCAGTCCACAAATAACATATTATAACATTTATTCTGTTTATTAAGTTATATAATGTTATACAACCTGTCAGAAAACTAAAACTTTACCACAAACAGTCTGTAGACTAGTACTAATCCCAGAACCATGTTTTAATGTAATTTAAACAGGATTAATTAAAACAACTTTGATGATGCATACTGCAAACTTTTTATAATAAGTGTTAAATATTAAAGCAGTTTATATACTGGATTTTTTGATTTCATTTAACAACATAAAATATTTAAAAGAAATATCTATTAGTAACCCGATACTCTAAAGGAGAGACCAATCGGAAAGTGGAATCGGAGGAAAACGGATAAAACCCCCGGACATTCAAAGATGCGACGGCTTCTCCCGAAAGTTCCAAGTGACGGATCTATTGCTTTGTGTGTGTCGTGCGCCCATCTTCGTCTCCGTCTCCCGACCTCGGATCGACATCTTTCCATTAACGGAAGTCGACCGCATCGTCCCGGAGTCGTCGAGACGTCGATGGAATTGTTCATTCGCGAATAAGGTATACTCCTTCAAAATGGGACTATCTTGGAAAGGAGAGGAAGACCCAGAGCCGCAGCCGACGTAGAATTTCCAAGATCGCGGAAATCTTGTAAGCTTTCATGTTTAATAAACGGGTTGTGTTGTAAACGAGGCATCTATCTCTGACTCAACTGCTTCCACATGTTGATTGTTACCGTTCGGCAGTCCAAACGGCAAGGGAGACGATGACGATATATATCGCATATTATCGTTAATTTCGTTTTTTTTTAAGTTTCTCCCCCCTCGGCCCCCACATTAGTATAGAAAATGCAACACATTCACGCTGAATGACAATATATGCAGGAAATAGCATTATTCGTATCAAAATATGAATTTATAAAAGCGATAATTATAAAATATGCACTAAATTTCAGTCGAATTTTTCTTATTGAATATATTCGAGCAATCTTGTATGGCCGATGTTCCTGCTAAAGGAAAACATCAACTAGAAAAGGAAAATAATTTTTCTGTGGTNAGTTTTATATTTTAAATAGAAAAATGATACTGTAATGTTAACACTTAAGCAAATTTACTGGAGATAAAACTAAAAATATAATTCTTAGGTTATTCCTACCACATTTTGAATTATTGCACCGTATTTGTTTGAAAATTTAAAAATTAATTAGTTCCTCTTGTGTAAATATTATATTTGTGTATTAAATATGAAATTTTCTATCAAAAGATGCTTGTTACTCTGTTCAAAATACATCTACTTTTCTTCTCGGTTTGCTGTAGTTTGAAGACTTTCTGAATACAAGTATATGATAATATTAGGGGCCGAACTTATGTTGTGCAGGGCAAAATTCATTGGCAGATGCTCCCTAAAATATTTTTTTAATTTGTCATGCATAAATAGAAAAAAAATTCATTATTTAAAAGACATTTTATAATTTGGAGAATATATTTTGTATTTCATTTTTTTTTTCAATTGCAATGCCCCTGATGGCATAGTGCCCCGGGCCAGTGCCCACTTGCCCATGCCTACGCTCGGCCCTGATAATGTTTCCCAATAGGCCCTAATTGACATAATCTTTGCTCTGTTTCAAAATAAAAAGGTTGTTTTTACTTTACTTTTTATTAAAGTTTACTCCATCTGTCTCTAATATAAAAATTAAATATTTGCAATTAAAGTAGCCTTCTAAATACAAAGATTTTGAAATCAATAATTTTCTCTTTTGTCCATAAAATTAAAGATGAAATTATACACTTAATTCAAAACATTACCTTTTGAAATCTATTTGACTGAAGAAGGTTTATTATATTAAATCTAAAAGTATGTAAATCTATCTAGATTTTCTTTAAATTATATATTATACATTTTTTAATTGTTTAATGAAATTCCATTTGTTAAGTATATAATTTTGTGTTGTGACTTAAAATACAAAACGTCTCATTTTGTATTACGAGAAGTATTTTTTATTTTGCCGTAAATTGTAATGACACTAGAGGAAGACCAATTCGTCGTATGCAAAATTATTTTCTGTCCATGTATATAATTCGATTTGTGAATCAAAATAGTTTTTGGTATGTAGCACCGTAGCATTTTTTGTGTGTGATTTGCTTTTTTGTTTTTCTTTCGGGGGAAGAAAATGTCACGAAGACTCGTGCTTGTCGAATGCTCACCAGGCTGTTACGTCTGCAAAACAACTTAACGTCACCGGAAACTTAACGACTTACCTCATTATTGCTTAATGATGAATTACCTTTTATCGATAATTTTAAATGATTCCGTTGAAAACGACATCCGTAAGCTTAGTCATAGTCGATGCAATTGTAATCACTGTATACAAATTACATAACTTTTCGTAAAATTATGTAATTTGTCTCGGCACAATGTGAATGTTGTAAATATCAATAAATTTATTTAAATCTCTTAACGATCTGTGCTGCTGTCATTGACAAATATAGAATTTTATAAACAATTACTACTTTTAATTATACACATGCATATTCACACAGAATGGTAGAGGTACCTGTACATATGAAATAGTGTATATGTGGCAATTCAACACTTTCCATACATAAAGTAGTTCATCTTATGCATTCATACAACACAGAATGATGTGTGAATTACCTACTGAATGCATAGGTTAACTTTCCTTCCACTTGTGATGAAATCTTAACATAGATTTGTTATGTGCATGCATCACAAATGTATTCTCAAAGTGATATGCATTTTGTATGAAAGCTTTCGAATCATTCTAAAATGACTAGATTGATTAGACATACTGGAGACTGGAATGATGTGTGCGGTAAATACGCAGGTACAGAACTATTGTGTGTGTAGTATGGGTTTGTTACCCAGATTTCAGGATTATGAAATCCCAGGAAATCAAGCTTAAATATTAAAAGATTTCTAGGGAAATGAGACAAATTTCTAAGTTGTACACTTAAAATGAAATCAAGTGGATAAATTACAAATTGTCAACATACGTCAAACAACTGTTGAGTAGTAATACTTTGCAACAACCAGCTGGAAGTCAAGGCAACTAAGTTTTAAAACATATTTCCTCCACCTAAAAAATCCCAGTTATTTTTCAGGGATGACCTGTCACAAATATGTCAGACCCCATTTCTCACCACCTGGCCAAACCCGTAATGTCCCTAGGAATAGGTCTTTTATTTCTCAGAGGATAGAAAAAGTAAAAAATAAAAATACAGTACTTTGCAAAGCAATTACTAAAATGACTATTTTATCTAACTTGTGTTTGGATTAATCAATCAGGATGATATTTGGTGAGTCATTAGGAGATTATGATAAAAAGATATGTAAAATTTTGTCGATCTGCTCTAAATAATTTAAAAGATTCTTAAAAAATTACACTGGCATGTAATTCTGCACTGTTCTGTAGAGTATTGCAGCAGGTTTGGATGTTTTGTGTACAAAACTGTGTTAAAATTAAATTGCTATATGATTTTTTGTTTGTTTTTATGATGATAAAAACTAAAAAAAGTTAGTAAATCCTTAGTGAAAAATATGTTGAACTTTTAGAAGGAAATGAGTTGGTAAGGAGAGTACATTTTAAGTGTGTAGAATACTCTATAAACTTATAATTTAGTTATAGGCTTAGTATAGTTCACAGATTAGACAACCATCATTAAGTTATTTCATTTTTTAATAAACAGAGTTAAAAATATCTTTTAATACCTTATCTCCAAATAATACATTTGCATTTTTGCCTGACTTGCAATTCAAAATGTAATGCAGCAAGGCTTTTCTACAGTCTGCACAAAGCAGAAATCAGAAACGACAGCTTGTGACAAAGGGGCCTGCTTGTTTATCTTTAATTCCCGGATTCCCAGAAAATTTCTGAGAACAATGTTTCAAATCTCGTTTTTCCTGGAAATGAAAAAATGTAGGATACAGAAAAGCCTTACTTGGTAGCATATATGCTAACATAGTTATATTTTTAGTTTGCATGCTGCATTGGTACAAGCAATCAAAACGTTAGTAGGAGAGGTCTTATAAGTGGCTGTTTCAATAGCATCTGAGAAATGTTTAATGGGGTTAGATCAGGGAACATAGGCGGCCAGATAACGATACAGTACTGAAGTTTGTAGAATGTTTTTTCCAGCTTTATCTGAAAGCTCTCATCCTGTGTGGAAGTCATTGTCTTGTTGAAAGATACCTAAACAATATAATAAACATCAATATAGTAATCATTTAACATACAATTGAATAAATATCTATTATTTTAACTTCTTTCAAGTGTTTGGAAACTTGCAGAATTCATTTCGAAAATTTGGAATTTGTATAATTCCATGCAATGCATTTGAATTGATAGAACGTTCTATAACACCGGCATTTGACTGTATAAGTATTTGTTATTGTTTGTGTGAAAATGGGATTTGGAAGACAATTAACTGGTGCAGAAAAAGTTCAAATTGACACACTTTGGAAAGAAGATAACACGGAAAAGGAATCTGTAATAAGTAAATGCTTAAAACGAATTAGAGAGGAACCATTAGAACGCCAAGAAAACGTTCCGGTCGGGCCAAAATTAGTGCTGCTTGTGATATTGTTTTAATTAAACGAATTTTGCGTAGCAATAGACTCGTCTGGGCATCGAGTTTAGCTCGAAAATGGTCTCGTGACGTGGCTAAGAATGTGTACTATAACGGCGTGGCCGAACACTTTCGTCACTCCGGGGTAACGAAAGTGCTTTTTGTCTAACCTTTGATGATAAAGGAGTGCGTATTCATCGCCTAAAAAAATGAATTTAAATCCGAATATGTTAGAAAATCGGCGAAGTTTCCATCAAAGGTCACAGTACAGAGGTGCACGTCGGCGAGCTTTGTGTTCTGAAAAACACTAACTACCGACGTGTACTATTATACTGATATGATGAAGACTTTTTTAATTCCAAATACTTGGAATTTAAAAAAAATTAGCAACGAGCTGCGTAACTTTTCTGGCTTTTATGAGATTTTATTTTAGAAATGACATTTGTATTACTAATCAAAATAGCTCCACATATAATTTAGTTGTTTATCTATTATGAGATTTTTTTAATTATTATAAAATAGCCATTTACACCCGGGTTTACCCGTGGCAGTAATTGTTATACTCGGCGTTATTAACGGTAAATTTCAAAAATGTATGTAGTAAAATCCATTTTAAGAGCATTATCACAATGCCTATAAACTAGTCCTCCGAAATAGCGTTATTATAGAATATGGACTACCGTGAAAACCTGGACACCCCAGCCCTTCACCTCCCTTATTAACATGATCTGCACTAAATATTTCATACTTATTCTATGGGACACAGGAAAATCTGCAGACTACCACACGACTGTTAGAATAGTTTTCATAATTCTATATTCGTCTATTATGAAGTTAAAAAGTAAACAATGCCGGTTATAGTCCGCGCTGCAAAAGAGTAGCCACGAGCTTATCAGTCTTATCTGGAAGGATCTATTTCATACGAAAGGGATGGAATGAGACGTGGCAGTTGGTTGACACGTGGATCACAGGAATAAAAAGTAAAATAATAAATGATTTGTAATTAAAATAGTATAAACATGTGTTAAAATTTAAAACAACAGCTGCAAGAGACCGGATCTGTATGTCAACTCTCACCTGTGTTCTTCCATCTGACATATAAATAAACTCAGATTTACGGAAAAAAATTGTAAATGGAGTACGTTTTAAACTAAACTGACCCGGCGTGTGACGTCACGCAGCTAGTATTACAGCCTTGGTTCGGTAGTGTTATACACTCGACTACAGATAAGCGCAATGATCGAGTTTGGGAGCCTCTCTAGAATAAAGTTCATTTTATACACGAATTAATTAAAATGTGGCATAACATCGTTAACAATAGACACGAGTACACCAACAACTGATCGTCCTGAATCTTCTCTCATCGGGATTCCCTCAACAGCCACACTAGACTAACAAGTGGCATTACTTGTGGAACTGGCTTTTTCGAATCATCCCCGTGAAAATTATTTTATAAACATCGAATTAGTGAATCAAAAGGTTTATTTTTTTTTTTTTTTAGGAATGTCTTTAATTAAGTACGATTTCCGCCAGCAGGTAGCGCTATTTAGAGAGTTAGGTCCTTAATCACGATTGTGACCTTTTTTGTCGGCAACACGTGCAACGATTAGCGATTGACAGTATACATGTACCGTAAAGTACACCAGTCTCTCCTCCTGTGGCATACATCAAGTGGTAACACGAAAATTTCATTTGCACCGCCCTATGGTAGAGTGTCGGATTACCGAACTGCCAGATAGGCGAGTGACGGACTACATTTTGTAAATCAAAATGGCAAACCGGTTGTGTGACTGTCACGTTAGAAAAAAAAATCCTTCTTATCGTTCAATTTTCCGCTCGGTAATTAAATATAAATTAGCAGTCGCACTGTGCATAAATTGAAATAAAACGGGAGTGAAAACATCCAGGAACGAGAGTTACGTAACTTTCCCGGCTGTAATAAGTTCATAATAAAAAAGCTATTTTATTTTAAAAAAAAATAACTTTTATATTATTAATAGAAATAAATAAAATTGCATGTGGCGCCATCTGTTATGAGATTTTGTTATAATTTTTTAAAATATTTTTAATTACTATAAAATAGCAAAAAGCTTAGTTTTGAGGGTAGGGGTGAGTTTTATAATGAAGTTTAAATATTAATAATGAATAAAGTATTTTTTTAAGTCTTATCCCTCTCGAGATATGACACGTGACACCCATTTATCTCCTCACCCCTCCACCTTTAACCATAGGTTTGCAATGTTTGAAAATTGCAGCCCAATTATAAATATTTTACGCTTTTATAATTAAAGCGAAATTAATAATAATAATAATTCGGAATTAATTTTAAATTTATAAGAAAAGCAAACGACACGGTGGCGATCACGTATTATAATTTTTTCAATTATAAATTTTTTGCCCTTTAATAATTAAATTAATAATATAAATTCAAAATTATTAATAATTAGAATTTTTTTTAATTTATAAAAAGAAAGATATTCTAAATATAAAAATAAATGAAAGCAGACGATAATCGTGTCGATCACGTGTTTTGATACGTGACGTCGTCATTTCGAACGAACATTTGTCCTTCCATTCCGTTTGATAAAAATGGACGTTTACGAATTTAATTCGTTAGATTATCCGGAAATTGCACCGAGAAAGAAAAGGCGATTGCCATTTGCACAGTTTTTGGATCAACAGAGTAAGATTTTGTCCTGTAAATATCCCTTTCTTACAAGGAGACAAATTAAAGAGAAGACCAAAGAATTATGGCATAAAAATTGTTTGGGGTAGGCCAGAATTTCGAATTAAAATTCTATTTTATATGTTTATTTAATAATAATTTAAATGATTTCATTGTAAAAAAAAAAATAAGATAAGATTATACGTTTGTAAAAATTCATCAACAGATGGCATTGGTGTAGATGTTTTCAAACAAGGTCTATAAACACGAGGTCAGGACTCCAGTGTTCTCTGTGGAGCCGCCATATTGGGTCAGTAGTTTCAAGATCGCGCTCGTGCCGTAAATTGCACGTCCCTTCGAGTTCGAGCCACGGAATTCCGTTTATATTTTTAAACAGGAAATCTTTTTTTTCATTTAGAGGTTACCCTGACATATAATTAAAGGCTTTAAGTATGTTTCAAAATAAAACGCTATGCGAATATCGAGGTTGCGGCCGAAATTTTCACGTTTTAGAGATGAAAACTTTGGCCGCAACCTCGTTAATGGTTCGCATAATAAAGTATGAGGATAAATTAATTTAATTTTGAAATGAAAAATTAAAGAAGAAATTTGGAGATATTTGTTAAAATAAGGATTTATTTAGTTTACTGTATTCATACGCATTTTTGCATTACACAAACTTCAAACAGGAGCTCAGAGCAAATGTTTTTATAAATAAAAATTAGATCAGAGAAAAGAAAACCATTCTCACAAACTTTATACAGTATATTATATAAAGTAAATTTTCAAAAGTATTTGCAAGAGATAATAACTTGATTCATTTAGGAACTTTCTTATGGATATAAATTAAATTTATTTATTTTTATAGAGAATTAAATAACTGTATTTATAAAAATTTATTACAGTAGAAAATAACAAAACTAGAAATATCAACTTCAACTTTATTTATTGTTTTTATAATAAAATGATTATTAAACAACATAATTATTCATTAGAATGTGCAATTTGTACAATACTATGTTACATAACTCTAAATTATTATGAAATATTAATTTAAATGACTGAAAGTTTTAATTTCAATTACTATATTTTATTTTAAATTTTAAAGTGTGTTTTCAGTCCACAAATAACATATTATAACATTTATTCTGTTTATTAAGTTATATAATGTTATACAACCTGTCAGAAAACTAAAACTTTACCACAAACAGTCTGTAGACTAGTACTAATCCCAGAACCATGTTTTAATGTAATTTAAACAGGATTAATTAAAACAACTTTGATGATGCATACTGCAAACTTTTTATAATAAGTGTTAAATATTAAAGCAGTTTATATACTGGATTTTTTGATTTCATTTAACAACATAAAATATTTAAAAGAAATATCTATTAGTAACCCGATACTCTAAAGGAGAGACCAATCGGAAAGTGGAATCGGAGGAAAACGGATAAAACCCCCGGACATTCAAAGATGCGACGGCTTCTCCCGAAAGTTCCAAGTGACGGATCTATTGCTTTGTGTGTGTCGTGCGCCCATCTTCGTCTCCGTCTCCCGACCTCGGATCGACATCTTTCCATTAACGGAAGTCGACCGCATCGTCCCGGAGTCGTCGAGACGTCGATGGAATTGTTCATTCGCGAATAAGGTATACTCCTTCAAAATGGGACTATCTTGGAAAGGAGAGGAAGACCCAGAGCCGCAGCCGACGTAGAATTTCCAAGATCGCGGAAATCTTGTAAGCTTTCATGTTTAATAAACGGGTTGTGTTGTAAACGAGGCATCTATCTCTGACTCAACTGCTTCCACATGTTGATTGTTACCGTTCGGCAGTCCAAACGGCAAGGGAGACGATGACGATATATATCGCATATTATCGTTAATTTCGTTTTTTTTTAAGTTTCTCCCCCCTCGGCCCCCACATTAGTATAGAAAATGCAACACATTCACGCTGAATGACAATATATGCAGGAAATAGCATTATTCGTATCAAAATATGAATTTATAAAAGCGATAATTATAAAATATGCACTAAATTTCAGTCGAATTTTTCTTATTGAATATATTCGAGCAATCTTGTATGGCCGATGTTCCTGCTAAAGGAAAACATCAACTAGAAAAGGAAAATAATTTTTCTGTGGTCTTCTAAGCAAGTCACTTATTAAAACATTTATTATTATATTACAAATCTCATACGGCAGAAATATTCGCAATAATAATTAATTAGTGAATATTTCTTATGATAATATCATGTGGTTCTTGTGATAAATATAGTTTTTTAAATCTGAAAAAGCAATATTTAATATCCTAAAAACATTTCTTAAACTTCTAAAATGTAAGCAGAGCATGTTTTTTCTTAATGTACTGTACTGTACGTACAGTACATTAAGAAAGTGAGTACATTATCAAACAATAAAATGTCACCTTAGGACAGAATCTTAAGGCAGAATTTCTTCAATTATTCACGATGAAAATTTCTTATTATTTAAATTTAATACATCAGTTCCTTTGTATATAATCATTAATAAACTATTACTTATATTAACTCTTAAATCATCACTCTCCTGGATCTGTCAGAGGAAAAACAGAACAACCTTATACCATTGGCCATCGAATTTTTACAATTACGTGCTGAACACCAAACCATTTTTAAAAAATATACATACAACAAGAATTCCAACCATTTGAGATCGAAAGAAACAATCAGCTTCGCTCTAGAAACACAGCACACATCTCAACAGACTCAATACGGAGACTGCTGCGATTCATCACGGTATCGTATCCAGGCCTATGTGTTTATAGACCTTGTTTTCAACTATTTTTCGAAACGTCACTTCCAGTTCCGGCTAATGCCGGAAGCGACTTTTGAAGATGAAGAGATGAAGCAACCAAACTAATGACAGAGATTCTTTCAAATAAAACGAACTATGTCATTGGTTTACTCGTTTTTTAAAACACGTGTATAAGTATTTTGAATTATGGTAAAAAGCTCGAATAAGCTCAGTTAATAAAATAATTTGTTATATCTTTAAAATGTAAATTAACGTATTGTATATTGTAATAATAATATATAAGCCGAATTGGATATAAACCTGGTGTATTTTTTAATTAATTAATGTCTCAACCGATCTTGAAAGTCTTTCGATTAAAATTCGATATGCTTTTGAAGTTGAATCATCCTGGATTACTTTTAACATATCGGTTAAATTATCAATATTTTTATTTATTTATTTTCTTTTGTTTAGGCGAGAAACTATTAATTTTAAATCAAGCACAAATTCGTATAAAAAAAATCAAAAAGTTTTGCCTGATAAATGCCATTCTTATAAGAAGGAATCTGTGATTACATATTCTACACAAAATTCTATAAAATATCGTGGCAAAGAGAAACTTTCGACTGCCGAAAATATTCAAAAGAAAATGTTTGGAATATTAAGAAAGTAAGTTTATGTCTTATAACTTAAAATGGATTTTACAATATAATGTAGATTTGCCTTCCATAAGCAATACACACGAATTTCGGGTTAAGATTGACGATTTAGATTATAATGGTATAATTATATAAAACATTTTTCGAAAAATATAGAAAATATTAATTTTCTTCCTGTTTTCAAAGTTTTGGGGCTGCAATTTGAAAAAAAAAATTGTACACCTATAAATTCCTACTATTGTCCGTCCGTTTGTCTTTCCTTAATCTCGAGAATGGAGTTAGATAGATGAAAGACGAGACCAGATATGGAAACCTTAGGGACAGGAGATCCCATTAACTGTATGGAACGTGGAAGTCACGTTATTTCCCGTGATAGATGACGGCATCATTGTTACTAATAGGAAAAGTATGACGTACAGGGGAAAGACACTACTAATTTGAAGTGAAGAGCATATATTTTACACTTATAATAGTAATACTGTTTTCCCAAACTTATCATTCGTTGTGATAAGTTTGGGAAAAAACAGCATTATTTGGGTTGCTGAAATAATAATTTGACACTTATAAAGGATTACACTATCATAGCAAAGGTATAATTACTCTGCACAATTGATATCAATATATTAAATTTCTTTGTTTCACAAAATATAATATTACAAGTAAATCAGTAACTATATAATAATTGTTTAATCTAATTTATAATGCTTAATTTGCCTTATTTTAAATAACTTTTCACAAATTACTCTATTTATAAAACTTAATATTTGAAATTAATTTAATCGGTATTAGTGATAGCGTAAAACTATTATTGATATTTTGTACCTTGATAATTAATTTTTATATAATATATTTTCAGAAAAGGAGAAAATAAAACATCCAAGGAATTCAGAGTTACATTTGTCGAAGAATGTAAAAGTAATCTTCAAAATGAAAATCCATCTGAACTGTTTCGTTCGTCAAATGTGGATTTTTTAACAAAATTTTCCACCAATGACATAGGAGTTAACGACAAGAAAGATAATTTTGCAGGTGATAATACTTGTTTAAATTCGAATTTTGCAAACGATAATGAATTCGAAGCAAATTGTGAAAGTTCACCCGAAAATCAAGAATCGCTTGAATCTGAATCCGATTACGATGTTCTTCAGACAATGTTTTCTCTAGAAAGATTTAAGTGCAAAAATAGTGATCAAGATATTCTCATTCCAAACAATGATAAACAATTCGAAATGTCAATTCCTGCTTTTCCAGCTATCGAAAATACTGATGAAAAAAATATGAACAGAAGAAATGAAAGCGAAAAGCATGTCGAATCTAATTTACAAAAGGATTTTCAATCGCCAAAAAGGAATATTTCACTTTTTGCTGATGAAATCTCTCAATCAGTTGACGAAATCTTATCCTGCAACAGCGATAAACTTAATACTGCTATAATAAATATATCAGATAGCGAATTATTTTTAAGTTCTTCCGAAAATAATGAATTAGAAGAATTGAAAACACAAGAGATAAAAACTAAGAAACCATTCGAAAACGATCCAAAGTTAAAATACGAAAATGAAAAGTGCAATGTTGTAGATTCTGAGATCAATAACATAATAAATACTTTAGAAAAATTCGGCAACGATGACGAACATAGTTTAGAAGATAAACCAGAAACAAATTTTAAGTCACGGAGTTTTAATATTGTCGAAACAGGAAAAATTCCCAGGAAAAATTCGTCAAAGAAACCGAAAATTAATTCGAGTCAAAAAAAGAAATTTGTGAAAGATCATTCGTGTTCGAATACGAAATCTAACGAAAAAATACGTAAAATTCGTACTCCAAGAGGTGAACTTTCGTTTTCTTCTGCGGAAAACGATAAAAATTCAAAAGTATTAAAAAGTAAAAGTAAAGAAAAATTGAAATCAAAATCTTTCTTCGATGATAAACTATTTTTAGAAACTATTGAAAATGAGGACATAATAACCGAAGAAAAAGAATTTAATAATAGTCCAGAAACTAAAGTAAATCATTCATTAGTAAATGAGAAAAAGCCAGAAAAGCAGAAAATCGACGAGATTTATGATTTTAGTCGTGATCTGTTTACTGCCGACAAGTTAAACGTTAAAATGAAACAGCCATTTGTTCCAGAAACCGAATTTGGATCAAATATTTCTTCTGTTAAAGCTTTATTTTCTCATTCAAACAGTAAGCAAGAACATTCAGAAGACATCGTCGATCGTTTCATCGAATCGATGAAAGAAATTGGGTCTATTTTAGGATCCAGTTCTCTTTTGAATATATCTGAAGATGAGGTATGTAATATATTTATTAAAAATTTAATACAGTATTAGAATGTAAGAGAAAGCAGCAACATATTTGGGACACAGATTAATTTCAAATACATATTATTTCGATTGAAACATTCTACATGAAGATAGAATCTTTTAAAAATTGAGTGCATTCACTGTAAGGATACACGTCACGATGAATAATTTATATATATATTTAAATGTATATATTTAAATCTTTATTTTGGATATTGCTCCGAAATTATCATAATTTAATTCGCAGGTCTGATGTTTTTTCCGCCTTTAATACTTTCTCAACTTTCAAGAAACGAATATAATCTTTAAAAGATTCTAACTTAATGTCGAATATCACAATCAATTAATTTGGATTGTTTATAAGATATATTTACTGTCTCTTGGTCCATCTTTTGGGCAAGACAACTGATACGGCCTTTCCTGGCGTATTAACGCATGGTGTAATTCCAAGCGGTAATAACTTACATATTTTGCATAAATAATATTGATACTTTAACGCAGCTTTTCTTGACAAATAACATGTAAATAGTGACAATCTTATTATTTTCACTGCAGAAGTATAAAATTAACATCTTTAAGAACTTATTTTTTAACGAATTATTTACATAGGCCTGCATATCGGTCTTAATAGAGGGCTAGCATTAGTTGAGTTACGTCTTCGTCCTTCTAGATACGATCATACTAATGTCGGCACCGAATTCTATTACATTTGATATAAGTTAAAACTGTCCAAAACGGTATCTTAATAAAACGGAAACCTGCCAAACCGGAAAAAATATTCGGTACGGTAGGTGTTCGGTTTACACAGGTTTTACTGTATATTTTATTTAATAAACAGAATACTTTTTTTTTAGTTAAATTGCGAAGATGTATATTCGAAAGAAGTCAAAGAAAACGAATTAATCCTGGAGCCAGAAAATAAAGAAAATCAGAATTCACCGAAAAATAGTTTTGAAAACAAAACATTAAAAAACCTAAAATCAAAATTACTAAATTCGAATCTGTTAGTGAAAAGTAAAATCAAAGTTCAACCTGTTTTTAAAAAGCATTCTAATAAGCAATCGGATAGATCCAAAGGTTTGTTAAAACCTAGGATTACAGAAAATTTGGATGACGACAAAGCATTATCTAAGAATTTCGATTTTGAAAAAGAAGATGGTGATTCTAAAGCTAAGCCAAATTTACAAGGAGGAAATTCCATTTTTACTTCGACTGGCGCAAAACGCAAGCCTATAAATACAAAATTTCAATTGGATTTTTCTCTAGATGATGCATTTTCCCTCTCTTCTGACGATGAAGATCCTCTTAATCTGGTGGATAGTTACAACGAAAATCAGGTAGAAAATATCAAATTTATTTATTTCATTTATATACGAACATTGTTTAATGACTTTTTAATTTTTAAAAAGTCATTTTCTATTAAATTTTACTGGAAAGATGTGGATATGTTGCGTATGTTTTGTAGGGAATAGACAGCTTACGTGAAAGAATTGCTATAACATGAATTACAGGGCGCGTATAGTGATATCGTGTTGCGTGTAAGCGATTTAAACTTAATTTAAACTTCAGGAAAAGTTTTTAAATAGTTGAAGCTCGGAGTTGCTCTTGTTTTTGAGTACCCTGTATACCTATCCTCATACAAAACAGATGGAATATACACAGATCTTTTCACTGTAAAATTTAATGCATCTAACTGTACTATATGACTACTAATGACAAAAATGCTTACATTAATAAGCATTTTTTAAATTATNAATAATTAGAAATTTTTTTTAATTTATAAAAAGAAAGATATTCTAAATATAAAAATAAATGAAAGCAGACGATAATCGTGTCGATCACGTGTTTTGATACGTGACGTCGTCATTTCGAACGAACATTTGTCCTTCCATTCCGTTTGATAAAAATGGACGTTTACGAATTTAATTCGTTAGATTATCCGGAAATTGCACCGAGAAAGAAAAGGCGATTGCCATTTGCACAGTTTTTGGATCAACAGAGTAAGATTTTGTCCTGTAAATATCCCTTTCTTACAAGGAGACAAATTAAAGAGAAGACCAAAGAATTATGGCATAAAAATTGTTTGGGGTAGGCCAGAATTTCGAATTAAAATTCTATTTTATATGTTTATTTAATAATAATTTAAATGATTTCATTGTAAAAAAAAAAAATAAGATAAGATTATACGTTTGTAAAAATTCATCAACAGATGGCATTGGTGTAGATGTTTTCAAACAAGGTCTATAAACACGAGGTCAGGACTCCAGTGTTCTCTGTGGAGCCGCCATATTGGGTCAGTAGTTTCAAGATCGCGCTCGTGCCGTAAATTGCACGTCCCTTCGAGTTCGAGCCACGGAATTCCGTTTATATTTTTAAACAGGAAATCTTTTTTTTCATTTAGAGGTTACCCTGACATATAATTAAAGGCTTTAAGTATGTTTCAAAATAAAACGCTATGCGAATATCGAGGTTGCGGCCGAAATTTTCACGTTTTAGAGATGAAAACTTTGGCCGCAACCTCGTTAATGGTTCGCATAATAAAGTATGAGGATAAATTAATTTAATTTTGAAATGAAAAATTAAAGAAGAAATTTGGAGATATTTGTTAAAATAAGGATTTATTTAGTTTACTGTATTCATACGCATTTTTGCATTACACAAACTTCAAACAGGAGCTCAGAGCAAATGTTTTTATAAATAAAAATTAGATCAGAGAAAAGAAAACCATTCTCACAAACTTTATACAGTATATTATATAAAGTAAATTTTCAAAAGTATTTGCAAGAGATAATAACTTGATTCATTTAGGAACTTTCTTATGGATATAAATTAAATTTATTTATTTTTATAGAGAATTAAATAACTGTATTTATAAAAATTTATTACAGTAGAAAATAACAAAACTAGAAATATCAACTTCAACTTTATTTATTGTTTTTATAATAAAATGATTATTAAACAACATAATTATTCATTAGAATGTGCAATTTGTACAATACTATGTTACATAACTCTAAATTATTATGAAATATTAATTTAAATGACTGAAAGTTTTAATTTCAATTACTATATTTTATTTTAAATTTTAAAGTGTGTTTTCAGTCCACAAATAACATATTATAACATTTATTCTGTTTATTAAGTTATATAATGTTATACAACCTGTCAGAAAACTAAAACTTTACCACAAACAGTCTGTAGACTAGTACTAATCCCAGAACCATGTTTTAATGTAATTTAAACAGGATTAATTAAAACAACTTTGATGATGCATACTGCAAACTTTTTATAATAAGTGTTAAATATTAAAGCAGTTTATATACTGGATTTTTTGATTTCATTTAACAACATAAAATATTTAAAAGAAATATCTATTAGTAACCCGATACTCTAAAGGAGAGACCAATCGGAAAGTGGAATCGGAGGAAAACGGATAAAACCCCCGGACATTCAAAGATGCGACGGCTTCTCCCGAAAGTTCCAAGTGACGGATCTATTGCTTTGTGTGTGTCGTGCGCCCATCTTCGTCTCCGTCTCCCGACCTCGGATCGACATCTTTCCATTAACGGAAGTCGACCGCATCGTCCCGGAGTCGTCGAGACGTCGATGGAATTGTTCATTCGCGAATAAGGTATACTCCTTCAAAATGGGACTATCTTGGAAAGGAGAGGAAGACCCAGAGCCGCAGCCGACGTAGAATTTCCAAGATCGCGGAAATCTTGTAAGCTTTCATGTTTAATAAACGGGTTGTGTTGTAAACGAGGCATCTATCTCTGACTCAACTGCTTCCACNACAAATTTGCTTATTAAATACGGACAACCGTTTAACTGAAGTAAAACGGGTTTTCCCCTTGTTATGGATGTCTGCTTAGTTCATTTCAGCCACATTTCGCTACAGTTCGCCTTTATTATCAGTTCGAAATGGGGTGGTTCCATAATACCCGCAGTGTTCCATAATACCACCTTCTCCTCTATTTGATTTATAATTACAAATGTTATCTTACTTAAGAGTTTATCACACCAAGTGACCAATCTAAAAATTTTTAAAATTGTGTACAGTACAGGAATAAAGAATTTTAAAATGCGTTAGATTGGTCACTCGGATAAACTCTTACGTAACATAACCTTTGTAGTTGTGAGATTAGACGGGGGCCAAGGGGGCGATCCCTAGTGACCACTTACAGTACTCGGGAACGGGTCGGTGAGACCCGATCTCGTCTGTTGGATGGTTTTACGATAAATTGTCGGCGGGATTGTAAGATCTAGCCGATGTCAGGATGCTGACACCAGTTAGGATAGAGCTAAACGTGACCTAACCCGCGTATTGTAACCAAAGATTGAATAGGAAATTATCAAGTTGGGAGGGTGCGCGGGTAAGTCGAGAGTGTGTTCGTTTCCCGAGTGAGAGACAGGCAAACAGGTTTAACAAACATAACAAAAGTTTAATATATATCTAAGCTAGTATACATGAGAAAATACAAGCTATATGACTAAATGTGACGATTACGTGAGGATATTATCAAATATTACAAGGCGTCGCGACCATTCTATTATGCCGCGAGCGCATATCGGGCTTATCTGAGAGATCTCAACTCGAATCGGAAAGAGAGTTTACAAACACCGATTAGCAGAAATACTTCATAGGGAGAATGCTATCTTCTCGGTGGATGGAGGAGTGTACGGTCATTGTCCGGAGATCGCTCGGTGACGGATGGAAGTTGAATCGGTAGATTCTGTATGGCGTTGTTCCCTCGACGTGGCATCGGTCCGCCGGGTAGTTGGTGGATTGAACTCCTCTATCTTTACTCGGGATGTTCACTACCTTCACCTACGTCTATATATTTCCACTTCTTCCAGGTACTCCACCACGAACTCTCGCTTCTGCCTCTTCTCGTTGACTTGGGAAAGTCAACCATGTGATCGGCTGTTGTTAGAGACGAAGGTTGATTTCGCAGGTGTTGTTGGTTCAGAGGTGACTTAAAGACGTCGCTTGGTTGCAGCTGTCATGCTCATATTGTGGACTTGCAAAACTACTCTGTTCGATCAACGTTTAACTTTCTCCTCTCTTAACATCAACTTGTTATCGCTTAACAGTCTATTGTTAGAATTCTCTAACATTTGTTGACTGGAAGTGCATCATTCACTCGTTTTCGAGCGATGTTTTTTATCGCTACGGAGAATTAGGCTTACAAAAATTTTCTAAATTTTTCACATCATCAAACCTGCGATCTCACATAGTTATATAAATCAAATACTATAATATAACAAACATTAAAATGAAAACCATATAAAGAGTTTGGTCACTTCAGCCTACCGTCATCACGTTTATCGCGATATTCGGATGGTACGAAATGGCATAATTTCATTGGTCAAGTAGACACCAATTGAAAATATGTTATTTAAAATTTTTTTAAGATATCATGCCTTTTCCTAATGTTAACTCTAAGAAACTGTGCCATTCACAGCCGAATATCAAACGCTAATCTGTCAAGCAATCAAATTGGCGAAAAACGGACGAAATATTTACACTCGGCACCCTCGATAACTGCTTAAAACATATTTTGTGCAGGCTAGTAACCTCGTATTATGTAATTTTCCTATTCGAATTCCACCATCCGCCTGCCCGATAGAAAGAAGGGACCGTTGCTTTGTTTGTTTGTTAAGTTATAGCAACGCAACACTTGGGCGATCTGCCTAGGGGATGTCTTCCGGGATATTTACTTTTTTAAAGGGAAACTGGCTCCTATTTAGGCGTTACAGACGTGGAGAAAAACCCAGAAAACTCCGCGCAAACCCACGATCGACTAACGGTATTCGGTGGTTTTATCCACTCGGTTACTGGAGGGTTCTTATTGGGTTGCAATTTGAAAAAAACTGTAGAGTTATAAATTTCCAGTCGTTCGTCCGTCTCTGACCGTCCTTGATCTCCAGAACGTATTTAGATAGATGAAAGTCGAGACCAAACGTGGAAATCTTAAGAGAAAAGGACTGGACTACCTATATATGAACTTCCGATTTGTACTGCGAGTCACATCATTTCAATAAAAAAAATTTCCTCCGGAACGGAGTTAGATGCATAACCGGCACAACTGTATTGCTAACAGGGAAAGTATGATGTACGGAGGTAATTACTATACTTCATGCAGGTAAGTGCTATCTGCTACCTGTCGCAGTAATGGCGTAATGGCTCATCTATTTCGCGCTATATCATTGTCGAAGTAATTCGGTAAATATAATATATATTTTTTAAAATGTTATCATTTTTTTTATAAGAATTATATTTAGTTAATTATTTTTGTTAATTTTTAGCCCATAGATGGCGCTACGTGTAATTCGTAAAATCGATTGTAAATAATTAATTTAGTTTTAGAAATGCAATCGATATTTTGGAGTGGGTTGCACGACATGATTTAAGTTAGAAGTATTTGAACGTAACTATCGAGTTTCATAGCAATTGGTCAAATGGCCGAGGAGTGTATAGCGAACAAACAAACAAACATCCTCAATTATATATATATAATAATTTTATTATAGATAGATAATTAGCCTTATACAACAGAAGAATTTCATAATGCCGAAATGTTAAGTATGTACTGAACGCAAATACAGTTTGATTTTCTGTAACTAACCCTCTTGATCCTTAATAGTAGCGGTAAAGCTTTAGTCGTGCTCCGAGGATTTCGGTTTAAGTCCATTCGGGGAATCTCGTGGGCAGTGCCGGCCCGAGGCAAGTTTTAGGATGGAGCAAGATCCTATTATGGCGCCCCCTTGGTTGCCCCTAATTTATACCCTTTAATTTTCTTTACCATTCAGCCATCCCTTAAGACTTGGCGCCTGGAGCGGCTGCTCCGTTCGCCCTATGGTAGGGCCGGCTTTGCTCGTGGGTAATCTCTTCGGGACACGCCATCATTCGGTTACCTTAATGGCAGGCCGTGCCAAGCTCTCGACGTGTATATAAAATACATATCTTCCGATTGGTGGCAGGAACAGTCCAAGAGAAACAAAATCCAAGATTTGACGGTGGAATGGACGAGGCAGGTAAGACATTTTACTACCGCTTTGGAGGACCCGGGATGGCATTCGAGCGGTGGAAAAATCTCGAGAATTTTTGTAGACGGTCTGTGGGATACGCGATGTTTCCTCATTCACCCGGATGCCCCATTGTGGGTCCGAACGAACTCGTAATGCATAGAAAAAAAAAAGGTTCTCTTACGAGTTAGTGCCCACAGCGGTACGAGACAAAAGAAAATAACAACAACAATAATAATAAACGCTGTTATTTAAATACTTATGTACTATTTATTTATACAGTAAATAAATCATATTAACGGTTTTAATTTATTTACAAATTTATTTATTTATTTATTTATTTTCTAAACCACGTCCCCGAACGAGTTACGTAATTAGCGACCATTCGCGGCGATAATCGGAACTAACCAGAACGAAGCTTTTACGTTTCTGTAGTGACTTAAGGTTTTTATACTTGATTTATAGAATTATTTTGAAACGTAATGGCTGCCACCAGCGTAAGTATCGCCTCCCGATCAAAATATATATTGTTATTTCTCTTTTATTTGCACTCGCGATCGTTTAAAATCTTCACGAATGACAGTTCTTCGTGTATTGACTTGACTACAGTTTATATTTTTCAGACATGTTTAGACTATTATAAAGCCTTTCCTGGGATGAAATCAGACTAATTTCAGATTTATAACGTGTAAACATTGTCATAACTTAAACATTGGTTACATTATGAATCTCCAGTTAACTTATCGTTTTATTAAAGGCCAGTGAGTCCTTTCACCATTTAAAATTATTAAAAAATTCGGTTTTCCTATTGAAAGACGAATGGTGATCTGTTTACCGTGTTTATTGCATATTGCGTTCTATTCGGTTAACGGGATGCCGGATGACTGTTGCGTTTGACGATTTAGCCCGGCTTCGAGTAGCCCGCTTGACCATTTGTGGAGTAGTTGACGTAATATAGTTTTAGGAGGTGTGGGCTTGCCCCGCTGAGACGTGCGTCTAAGTGCGAAGCGTGTAGAAAAGGCGGTAACCGATACGTGTAAAACTGACCATTGGAGACGAATATCTTGCCTGGTGTCGATGATTCTGGGATGGCGTGAGATCTTTTGTTCGGAGCTCGAATCTTAACCGTTCCCATGTGTGTCGGTCGCCGTCCCGTTAACCGAAAAGTACCGCATGCGGTAATGCAAAAAATAGTGGGCACATTTCCTAGAAAAGCCGTTTTACTCGAGCTGCCGGAGGGTGCTTTAAGCGGTTTCTGTTTTCGTGGGAAATACTTTTATGTCTTGACTACGTGGCATTGTACGAATAAAAACTACCATTACTAATAAATTTGAAAATGTTTATGTCTGGTTAGAAGATTATGCAGAAATTTGCATTTCTAATTTTTTCAATAACTGATTTAAAATAGATTTTGGCATGTCGCAATTTTTGTTCGAGGTGTGGTACGTAATGCGTATATAATTTGTGGTGGTGGCCGTCTCGACTTCCGTTTTTGGAACTTGTGAACCTCGATGCACCGGTACCGGATGGCTAACTTGAAGCGAAAATAGCTTAACTGTCTTTTTAACAAAGTGGCTCTAGTAGGAAATGCACTCGCTGTGTTTACTGTATATGCCACACAGCGTGATTATTACATTAACTGATTACGCTGTAATAATTCAAAGTTTAGGATAATAATAACAAAATACAATGTTACTATTCTAAACATATATATACATATACATATACATATAACAACTAAACTTGAATTTTAATTAATTAATAACCAATACCTTAATGCCATGGTTCTCAATACATGCTCTGCGAAACCACTTCAAGTGTCAAAACCCGAAATAATCAAATATACAATTAAAGATTGTTGCAAAAGAAAAATCAATACAATGTAAAATTTTTGAATGGTAATGTAATCAGCAAATGCCAAATGATATCATATACTAGTTCGAGTGCACTCTTGATTTCAAAAAGGTTTGCCACCCCTACTTTAAAACCTATGTAAGTGTTCTACGAAAAAAAATGTCAAAGTTTAGTGTTCCCCAACTTCAAAAAGATTGAGAACCACAGCCTTAATGTGCAGTATTTTGAATTATTGAATTTAGAATGAGATAATAGATACTGGGATGAAGGGGGCGATACTGCGTAACGGTTTAATTGAAGGGGGCGACAATTTGTTAGAGGTTGAGAAACACTGATTTAGAATGAGATAGTAGACTAACCCCCTTTTAAATCAAATAACTTAGTTTCTTTACTTAAAATTTAGTCAATTTATGGCCCAAAAAAATTGGCATTTAGGTCTTTGTTGTTTAATTATACATAAGGCTTGGATGTCTAGGCACTAAAAATCATATAGTTATAAAATAAGCTTTTTTGATGAAATTAAATAAATAAATAACTGAAGTATACATATTTTGGTAACCACTAAAAATGATTTTTTAGATGAATAAACAAATTTGTTATGTCCTGATAAGATGAGAAGCACATAACAAATTTGTTTATTCGTCTATAAATCCATTTTTAGTGGTTATATCTGGCAAATACTGCTAATTTTAGCTTTATATTAGAGGTATACATATTTATTTCTGGGTGAAAGTACTTTTGTTTTATTATTACTACTGTATAATCTATATATTAGCAATGCCACCCAATAAAAGAGTAACTGTTAAAATATTTATATTGATAACTTAATTTTTGACCATATATGATTTTAATTTTCCGAAATTAATTATTTTTTTTTAATTTTCAGAAACCGGACGACCATCGTAAAAAATGGGACAGAGAAGAATTCGAACGAATCGCTCACGAAAGAATACTAGAAGAATATGAACTGGAAAAAAAGGCTAAAGACAAGCAGCCTCCTGTTCGACGTGAATATCTAAAGCCTAGAGACTATAGAGTATGACGCTTCTACTTTTACTTAATGATATTTATTAATTTGTACAAGTTTTTATATGTACAGTTTTTATATATTATTTTTAGTTCTTATAGTATTTTTAGATGAGTAATATGTTATAAATGAATGACTGAGAAATATTTTTATTAATTTTTATAGTTAGTTTGATAAATCGCAATGATATTAAATTATGTTCTAGAACAGCCTATACTTTACATTAAATACAGTAGAATCTCGATTATCCAGACTAATTGGGGATGAAGGTAGTCCGGATAAGGAAAAATCCGGATAATCGAAACAAACACTTTAATTTGTCTTTTAATGATAATACAACACGTTTTCTTTTCAATGACATATCGGTAATATTAAAAATAAATACTGTATTTAAACCGTGATCAAATTTTCAAGAAACAAATGTTCGTATTGAATTTGGACTACTACTGACTAGCGCTAACAGACTAGCTATTGTTTAAAAGGGATTTTATAAAATAAAAAGCAGTTGAAACTGCATTTTTATGAATAAAAATTTGACAAACTATTTATCGTTTTATGACGAGTAAAATTTTTTCTTCGCGTTCTTGGCTTTTAAGTAATGCATAAACTTTCGAGGCGCGAGGCCCTTCGGACCACGAGGCCTAGGCGGTGGCCCACGTCGTCCATGCCTTATGCCACCCTTGGTCATAGAAATGATGTAATTTGAATATAGATTATTTATAAATACGTATGTCAAGTTATATTTTTATTACGACGCAAAATATATTTAAGAGTTTACGACCACTGTGCCGGGTGAGACGTTGTTTAAACAAAAAATGTTATGCATTCCATCATGTACATAAACAGTGTCATAATTCGCCAAGTGCAAATCATCAAATTCGTAAAATCTTTGTTTATTTTGAACAATCCAGATAATTGAGGTTCTACTGTATTTGTGAATATTACAAAAACGTTGACATAACTTAGCAAGATCTTGTTGATATTTAATGAACCACTTTGCAATTGTATGTTATATTCTACCTACCAGTCACTATAAAATGGACTCATCTTAATTAACTATGCTCACCTGTTGGATGATCTGTACTTAAATTGTATGGTGTGTGTCTCTTATGAAAGTACAAAAATGTTTTAAATACAAACTACTATTGGATTTTCTATAAAAATTAATAGTAAATGCAAAGTATATAATATTAATTGAAAAATAAAAGAAAATTTTACAAAATTTAAACTGATTTTGATCAGTTTAATATTGTTTTCACATAAATAAGTTTCCCACTTGATAAAAAGACATTTATAGGATTTATTTATTGTTGTTTAATGTATACTATTTGGTTAATTCCTGTGTGCAGTGCTATGCCAAACTGAGGCTATGGCATAAACTTTCTATAGTTATGCCATATACTTTCTATAGTTATGCCATATATTCATGTTTAAGAATTTCGTACGTGGCATGTGTTAGTACGGCTACTTTCTGTAATATGATATGTAGTATTGTGGTATGATGCCTGTGCAAGAATCCCTATCCATTTTCTGGGCAAATTCTGAGTATTCACTAATTTCTCGGTGTGTGTATCCTCGGAGTTGTTGGAATCAAATGAATCTTTATTAATGCAAACATAAAGATGATGATGATAAATTATTACAATATCAAAGCAAAGGAATGATTTCTTGTGGAACAATGGTATGTAGCAAGGGTTGCCAACAAATTGATCGTGATCGACCGGTCGATCACTCGCGATGTCTTGACTTAATGTGTTACACTTGTAACCGAACGCAATGCGTGAAAAAAAAAGTGCAAACACAACTGTAGTGATATCGGACTTCCGCATCCTCTCCCAGATGCAGTTTTGTCAGTCCATGTGCAATCCATTTGCGTACAGTTGTAAAGGAGGAATAAGAAAGGGTTGTAAAACCGAAAAAAAGAAAGGCGGGAAGAAGGACAGAGAAAGTAGGTCGGGACATGGTAGAGGAAGGAAGGGTGAAGTGGTGGTCCCCGAAAATGACAATGTTGAGTTTCAATTTTTCTTCTGTTAAAAACCTTTCCTTCATGTTTTAAATTAAATTGTGGCTTTTCTTATCTATCTAAACTAGTATGTATGTCACACCTCTCCATCGCCGTGTAGACTATGCCTACTGCAACAAGTCGATCGTGACACATTTTTAAAATAAAAAGTACAAGGTGTGTTCAAAAAGTATCGGATCTTTGGTCGACAAAAATAAATTTATTGATTTTGATGTACAAAACCCTAATCGCCTTCAAAGTAGTCTCCTTGGTAATGTATACACTTCTCCCAGCGTTCCTGCCATTGCTGGAAACACTGCTGGAACGCATCTTTTGGAATGGCTATCAGCCGGTCTGTCGGATTTTGCACGATGTCTTTTCTCGACTAAATTCGGGTTCCTTTTAGCGGCATTTTCAGCTTGGGAAATAGCCAAAAGTCACACGGAGCCATGTCGGGAGAGTACGGAGCGTGACGAACCACAGGAGTGTTATGTTTGGCAATGAAAGCCCGAATCAGATGCACAGAATGGGAGGATGCGTTATCACGATGGAGCTGCTAAGTTTTGATCGACCACAGATCCAGTTGTTTGCGTCGCACAACATCGGAAAGACGACGAAGGACCTCCTGGTAGTACTCCTTTGCGATGGTTTGGCCTTGTGGTGCGTACTCACGACACACCACCCCACGAGAGTCGAAAAAACTGTCAACATGACCTTTGATATTGCTGCG